TGCGCGCTCGAGTTCCTCTTTGGCGACGCTCCCGTCGGCACCGCCATCAGCGAGACGAGCGAGCGGGGATGGGACGGGCCCTAAAGGGGCGCAGGAGGCGGTGGCCGGAGCGAGGCTGAGGCCACTTTTGTAGGCATGCGGTCGGCACATGAGAGAAACAAGCCTCCCCGCCTAAAACCCAAGAGTGCAGGAGATCGAGCGCACATATACAATGTGTTCAGTGTAGAACAGGGTGATTTTCGTAAAGTAAGGCACTCTCAAATGAATACGGAAGTAATAAATAAAAAATAGAGCAGTCATCTCCAGGAGAGATGGGCGACGCACGACACACAGAGGCACACAGTGCGCACCCCGCCCCGCTCACAGCTCTGGGCCGGCGCGGGGGGCCCAGAGGGTGTCCATGCGGGGGGGAGATGGGGTCCCATGGCCCGCCGCAGGCGCCGATTTTTTGGAATTTTTTTCTTTTTTCGCGATTTTTTACTTGTTTTCATGGGAATTCGGCGTACTTGCGGCCATGCTATCACGCCTTGCGACAGCCTGTCGGCGCAGCTGACCATGCCATGATGCACAATTGATCACCTGCATAGCTCGCGGCCTTAGTATTAAGCATTCAGTGACGACCTGATCGTACGGCCAGTAGGAAGGTGTCCTTCCAGCTGCGTGCACGCTTCTGGCGCAATGCGCGTCACCTCGGATGGGCTGCTGGCACTCTCGAGGCTATGCCTACACAGCCTCGCGCGCATGGGCAGTCAAGAGGGACCACGCACCTTCTCAGGACAGCGCCGGTGCCTCTCTCTTGGACCGGCAAACTTGGTGGTCTCGTGTCACCAATGTGGGACCAGTGCGGCATCGCGCCATCGACAGCTCTGAACTGCGCCCCTCACCACTGACCGGGAAGGCCGCCAAGTGGGCCAGCACAGGTCGCACATTGTGGCAGCAGTCAGCAGTGCATGGCTGATAGCTAGAGCAGCAGCGTCAGGGTCGCAGGGTCGGATCGTGTCAAGCCTCTCGCCCGGCCGGCCGTGTGCAGACGTCGGCCTGTCTGCTGTCTGGAGTGATCTGTCGGCGGTCAGTACGACCGATCAGGTCGGAGTTTTCTCATGACTGGAGGGTCTATCTGTATGTACTCCTCGAGATCTCTCCAAATCTGCCCTCTACTCAACCGTACTCATTCGGGAAGTCGGTGCTCATAGAGACTCATAGAGCCGGAGCCCCGTTTCCGCACTGCTGCGCGGCGCACGGTGTGGGCCGGGGGCCCCCGCGCCGGCCCAGAGGCTCACAGCCGGGCGGCGTGCATCTCACACAGGCGTGGTCCGTGGACTGTGTGACTCCTCGGGTTTCTGGGACTCGACAGAGGTGTGCTAGTCGCTACAGTCGGACGGCTCCGGCACGTCTGATAGGCAGTTCGGGCTCGAGTGAGGGCCGCGGTCGCGGTCGCGGCCAGCGCGCGGGGCCTGGCGCTGGGGCTGCCGGGGTGAATCTCGATCCACGCGCCGGAGAGCGCGCGTGGTGCTTGTGTTGAGCAGCCGGGCGGTCGCCGCAGCCACCTCGATCGGCAGCTCGTCGAGCCACTCGGCAAAGGTTCCCTCGTCTTGCGCCGCAGCGTTGAACTGTTCGCCTAGGCCGTACGCACGGCAAGCCCGGAAGAGCGCCTCAATACGGAAGTATACCGACACGGAGGAAAAAGAGGTCCTCTTTTGCCTCGGTCAGCTCGGGAGGCTCGGTGCACTCCCTCCCTCTCAGTGTCCTCTTCGCTCTTGGCCTCGCGACCACACCTCGATCTTCTTGGGCAACAGCTGTCCTGCTGTCGTGACACGTCCTCTCCGTGGCCTAGGCAGCCGGTCTCTCCCTTACCCCAGGTAAAGACTGCACCGTCGGCGGCGAGGGCGAGGCTGTGGTCTTCCCCTGCCGACAAAGTGACGACCCGCCGGCCAGCGAAGGCCTCGACCGCCTTCGGCAGCAGCTGGTCCTGCTCGTCGCCGTGGCCCAGCTGGCCACAACGCCCGTCGCCCCAGCTCCAGACGGCGCCATCGGCGGTGGCGGCGAGGCTGTGGAATGATCCAGCCGACACGGCGACGACGCGCTGCCCAGCTAAGGCCTCGATCTTCTTGGGCAGCAGCTGGCGCTGCTCGTCGCCGTGGCCCAGCCGGCCAAAGTATCCCTCACCCCAGCTCCAGACGCTGCCGTCGGCGGTGATGGCGAGGCTGTGGCCGCCTCCCGTCGACACAGCGACGACGCGCTGGCCAGCTAGGGCCTCGACCGCCTTCGGCAGCAGCTGGTCCTGCTCGTCGCCGCGGCCCAGCCGGCCTAACAGTCCGCTGCCCCAGCTCCAGACGGCGCCGTCGGCAGTGATGGCGAGGCTGTGGTATCCTCCAGCCGACACAGCGACGACGTGCTGGCCAGCGAAGGCCTCGACCTGCTTTGGCTGCCACTGGTCGCCTTGTCCCAGCTCGCCCTGCCCGCCGAGGCCCCAGGACCAAACGGCGCCGTCCGCGGTGAGAGCGAGGCTGAAGAATCCTGACGCCGCCACACCAATCGCGCGCTCGCCTCCGAGGAGCGACGGGAGACGGGTCGGCGTCTTCAGCTGCAGCACGCCCTCGCCGTGGCCGAGAAGGCCTGGAAACTCCTCCCCGTCCTCCTCCTCGCCCTCCTCGCCCTCCTCGCCCTCCTCGCCCTCCTCGCCCTCCTTTCCCCTGCCGCACGACGAGAGCCGCCCCTCGCCGTCAATGAAAACGCTGTGATACCAGAGCCTGCCCGCGCCGCCCTCGCCGGCGGCGGCGCGGCGGGTTGGACTCGCGCAGCAAGGCATAGACGCACAGCCACCGCACGGCGCAGCTCTTGCCCTCTGGCTGCGCCGGCGGCTCGTAGCCGACCTCTTGCAGGCGCAAGCGGATGCTCTCCTCTGCGAGCGAGGTGTGGTCGTGTGGAAGAGCAGCGAGACGCCAGACGGCCGCAACGGTTGACGGTGACGCCCAAACAACTCCGTGCGTGCTCTCTGCCTCTGGGGCCCGCTCTGGGCATCTCTGCCCTCTTTGTACGTAGATTTTACCAGGGATGCGACTCTCTGGCTACACGAGTAGCAAGTCCCTCGGCGCCGGGTAGAAATCGTCTCCCGGCAGCTGCACCCGCAGCTGGGGTGGCGCCATGCTCTGCGCGTACACGTGTGTCGACAGCTGCCGGCGCGTCGGGCTGCCGCTCGCTACGTGGCGGTCGAAAAAGGCGATCAGCTGCTCGCGCGTTAGGCGCTTGACCTTCTCGGCGCTGCGCCACGGCCGCTCAAAGTCGTATCTCCGCCGCGTGCACTCGGCCCACAGCCGCCCCGCCTGCTTGGAGAGCCCCGCCGTGTGAAACAGCCGAGGTGCAGCCGAGGTGCAGCCGAGGCACGCCGCCTGCTGGTCGAGCCGGCCATCCACGTCGGTGAACTGCGCGGCGATGGAGGCGGCGTATGACTGCACCTCCGCCTCGCCGAGCAGGAGGAGGGTGCCTGCGAGCGGCGCGCAGAGAGTGGGAGGCGGTGGAGGCACGCATCGAAACTCGTGCGCGCGTGGCGGGGACAACTCCTCTACGGGGCATCTATTCCGCATCTATTCCGCATCTAGGGCAGCGCACCGCGGAAGAGCCGCAGGAACGCCTCGATGCGCTCCTCCACGGCCTCGGGCGCGGCAACCTTGCTCTGCACGAGGAAGGAGAGCCCTCGCACGCCGTCAATCTCGTTGGCGCTGCACTGCACGATGTAGCCCAGCTGCTGCCTACGCGCGGCACTGGTACCATACCTCCAGAGCCTGAATCCAGTGGTTCGGTCCCGTGGCCGTAGGGTGCCTATGCGCGGGACTCGAAGCGCGTAAGCGGGCTCTCGCTAGAGCGCCGCGCAGCGCGGCAGTCAGGCGCTGCTTGGTGCGAAGCTCCGAGTAGAAAGCCTAGCAGCAACACCTCCCTGAGTGAGACGGGACGTTGTGCATGTCGGTCGCTCGAGAATGGCCACGGTCGTCCGAAAATGACCACGGTCATCCGAGCAGAGGGCAGCGTACCTTGGACATCAACTGGCTCAGCAGCGTGAGCAGCACCCAGTCGTCGGCCTCGTCGCCGCCAACCTGGAAGTAGACCTCCGTCGCAGAGTTGACCTCGGCCTGACTCGCCGCGACGAACTGCTGCAGCGTGCGCTCCCCAGCGGGAAGCACGCGCACGCGGCGCACGGGGCGGCGCGCCACCGGCAGCGGCCGCGAGCCCAGTGCGTTCAGCAGCTTCAGCACGAGCTGTGTCGCCTGTCCCTCCGCGACGTTGCCGCAGAGCAGCGCCTGCGGCGCGAGCCGCCCGGGTGGGGGTGAGTGGCGGGCGAGATATGGGGAGATATGGGGAGATATGGGTGAGAGAAGGGAGAAGATGGGGGGCGTTGGGGCCGCACCTCGACCTCAACCTCGGGCAGCAGCCGCCTTTGCAGGCCGAGGACCTGCGGCAGCGTCGCCTTCTCGAGCCCGGCGGCGAGCTGCTCGTTGGTGTAGCGCGGCGTCTCGAGAGCGAGGTTGCGCCGGTACGCCGCCTGCTCGACGGGCTGCCGCTTGTCCGCGCCTCTCAGCTGGCGGAGCAAGCCGTCGCGCTGCCGCTCGAACGCGAGCGGCGCCACGTCAAACGTGCGGAGCGAGTCGGCCACGAGCGCCGCCAACTCGGGCAGCCGCTGGTCGTACCCCGAGAGGGAGAGAGACAGGCCCTGCCAACCGACGGAGGCGCCCGCGGAGAGCCCTGCGCGTGCCGCCTGGTACGTCACGTCTTGCAGCGCGTCGGAGAGGAGCGCCGCGTAGAGCTCGGCCTGAGCCGCGGCGGCGGCACTCTCGTACAGCTGCGGCGTGCGCAGCGAGACGAAGGCGAACGCCTTGGGCCTCCCAAACCGTTCGTCCTACTCGAGAGCAGCCTTGGGTCGGGTCACGCCCTGCAGCCCCGTCGCGCGGGGAGGAGAGTGCCACGCCGCCGAGAGTACCCGAGAGTATCCGAGAGGACCCGAGAGGACCCGAGAGTACCCGAGAGTACCCGAGAGGACCCGAGAGGACCCGAGAGGACCCGAGAGGACCCGAGAGGACCCGAGAGGACCCGAGAGTACCCGAGATTCCCGAGATTAGGCATAGGGTGCCACGCCGCCTGCAGGAAGTGGAGCCGAACAGAGTCTGTGTTGAGCAGCAGCGCCGGCTTGACGCGCCGCGCCGCGCCGCCGCCGCCCTGGGCAGTCGACGCGCCCCGCGCCTTGATGCTCAGCGCCTTGATGCTCAGGTCTGTGGGGATGAACCGGTTGGGCGGCGGCACCGCCAGGCCATCGAGGCGCGGGGCTGCCGACCACGCGGCCACCTCCCTGCCGATCGGCATCTCGCCGTAGCTCGCGCTGTAGACGGGCTCGACTCGTGTTGCCAGCGGGGCCAGCTCGCGCGCAGTCAGCTTGACGACCGCCGCCTGCGGCGTGAGCCCCTCGAGGATTGACCTCACGAGCGGCTCCGCCCCCTCGCCCGCAAGCAGCGGGCCGCGCAGCCACTCCCGAGGCGGGAAGAGGAAGAGGTTGCCGGAGGCGCTCTGCACAAAGCTGCTCGGCGGCGCGGGCTCGGCGAACGCGAAGGCCAACTCGCGCATCCGCCGCTCCTCGGCGTAGACGTGAGGCGGCACTCCCTCCTCGCGCAGCAGCGCGAGGTACGAAAAGAGGGCAGAGACCACCTCGGGCCAGCGCTGCAGCCCCTGCGGCGTGAGGCCGATGTACGCCGTCAGGACGACGAAGGAGCGCGTGAACTCGTCGATAGAGCCGTCGACGGAGCTCGCCAGTCCCTTTGCCTTGAGAAGCTGCGTGAGGCCACCTACGTCGTGGAGACGAGGGGCTGCGAAGACAGTGAGTACAGCGGAAGACGGCTGAACACAGTTGAAACGGCCTCCTCTCGAGCGCTGGGTGGGAGACAAGAATACGCATTCCGCTTCTAGGCGAGGGAGCCCTGCGCGCGGCTGGAGAGGAGGCTCACCACGGTTGAGTCGGGCTTGGCGCGCCACCACTCGTCCGGGTCCTCCACGGGCAGGCACCACGTCACCGTCACCGAGCGCTGCTCTCGCACGGGAACCAGCACCGTCGCCACCGGCGGCTCCGCCTGCGGCTGCGTGTCAAACGGCGGAGGCAACGCGTCGTACGCGGCGCTCGCGGGAGGCGCCGGCCCAGGCGGGAGCGCGCCGAAGTTTGCCTGCACAAGCCGCTGTAGCGCGTCGAGCGACTGCGGCCCCGCGACGGCGAGCGCCATCTGCGGAGCGCGGTAGAAGGCCCGGTGGAAGGCGAAGAGTGCGGCACGCGCGTCGGCGTCGCCTCCCCGCAGAGTCTGCCGGTTGCCGGTGAAGAAGCGCGAGTATGGGTGGTCTGGCCGCGCGCGGAGGCGCAGCACGGCGTCCGAGCGCCAAAAGTCTGACTGCAGGTTCTTTGCGTGCTCCGCGTCGATGGCGTCCACCTCGCGAGTGGTGCCGCTCTCGCTGAAGAGCGGCGCGGTGAAGAAGTCGGCGAAGCGTGTTAGCGCACCAGGCAACGCGTCGCCGTTCACCGAGAAGAAGTAGTTTGTCTCCTCGGAGCCGGTGAAGGCATTGTTCGATCCAGCGTTGGCCGCAATGAACCTCTCAAATTCGCCCTCGCCCGGGAAGCGCTTGGTGCCGAGAAAGAGCATGTGCTCGCAGAAGTGCGCCAGCCCCGGCCACTCCACCGGGTTTGACATGGAGCCGACCGCCACGTTCATCGAGGCGGCCGCTTTGCCCGCCTCGGGGTCTGAGCACAGCAGCACCCGCAGTCCGTTGCTGAGCTGCATGCCACGGAAGCTGCGGCGGTCGAGATCCGAGGCGGCGATGTCAAAGGTCTGCAGCCCGCGTGCCGCTGCAGCCGCGGCCGCCGCTGCGGCAGGGCTTGGCGTGGGAGTCGCCAGCAGAGCGGAGCAGAGCGACAGCAGCGCGCGGCGAGAGGCACTCTCCGTAGCCGCACGCATGCTTGGCGAGCTGCACCGTGGCCTGGAAGGCGGCGAGAGTACTGGCGTGCGCATAACGTATATCTGCGACCTCAAAGTCGTCAATGGGATGCTGTCGCACGCAATGGTTGCCGAGGGCCGACACCACCCCCAATACAAGCGTACGAGGTGGCGAACCGGAGGGCCTGCGAGTTCAGGTGCCGGAGAAAAAAAAGGACTTGTTGGTGGCTACCACCTGTCCCCCTGATCGTTCTTCCAAAATCCTGCTCGTGCAGGTGGGGACCCTGTCCTCGTCCCATCCCTCGTTTGGCGTGTCTGTTTTCTTTCTTTCTTTCTGGTGGCTAGCCAAAATGGTGATGCCCGACTGATGAACCCTCGGCACGTCAGAGTGCTCCTCTTCGCGCTTTGGTTGCAAAGGGCCGACACGCTTTGGTTGCAAAGGCCGACACCACCACTGGGTTCCGGCTCCTAGCCGGATAGGGGGTCTGATCCCACTGGCTGCCCCTCCCAGATAGTAGGTATGAGGTGGCCGATGATGCTCTGTGTGCGCACCTGCTGGGGCGACAGCTTGCCGTCGCGGTCGGCGAGCTTGAGCGAGTCGGCGGCGTCGGCGAGGCGCTTGCCGCTGAGGACGGTCGGACGCTCGCCGCGGAGGAGCTCGGGCATGGGCTGGCGCTGGACCGCGATCAGAGCTGATACCATGTGACGGCGGAGTTGACGTCTCCGTCGGTCGTAGCGGCGTGGCTGAGGGCGGCGGTGGAGGCGCCCGAGGGCGCGGCGTGGCTGGTCTCATGGGTCTAGCAAACCATAGACCACGCTGAGAGGATGCAACGAAAGCAGGCGGGCGATAGCAGGACGCACGAACTGTTAGAGGTAAGACCTCGGTGGGTGTGAAAGGTCTACCCATTACCCAAGAAAGGGTAGGCGCGGTTAGATGGGAGGTAGAATGTCTACCTACCGCATGACATTCATACAATACATCATTCAATATAACAGACGATCGACCTGATGAAACAAATAACGTAGACGCTCTCTGTTCACTCTCTCACAGACGAAAGTGTTGCATTCAAACCCGGGCAATGCGGCAATTATGTCGATGAAGTCATGACGGTGTGGGGGTGGCCGCTGCAGCCGTTGTCGGCGTCTGCGGCGTCGTAGGCCGCGGCTTCGGCCGTCAGCGCCTCCGCCGCCGACGTCGCGTTGAAGACGACCATGCAGTACGCCCACCCGCCCCCCTCGGCCGCGTGCCACATCACCTTGGTGAAGAGGGACGGGTTGTACTCGTCGTCGGCCGGGTTGTGCAGGACGGCGAGGGTGGGCGTGTACAGCTCGACCGTGTAGGCGCTCTCGTAGAGCTCGCCCGTGCCGTCGTAGTCCGCAGAGCTGAACCACACCTCGTCGCTGACTGCGACCGTGGCGCCGAAGTTGGTCAGCCAGGTGCCGTCCAGCGGCATCGGCACCGACGTCATGACGGTGTGGGGGTGGCCGCTGCAGCCGTTGTCGGCGTCTGCGGCGTCGTAGGCCGCGTCGTCGGCCGTCAGCGCCTCCGCCGCCGACGTCGCGTTGAAGACGACCATGCAGTACGCCCACCCGCCCCCCTCGGCCGCGTGCCACATCACCTTGGTGAAGAGGGACGGGTTGTACTCGTCGTCGGCCGGGTTGTGCAGGACGGCGAGGGTGGGCGTGTACAGCTCGACCGTGTAGGCGCTCTCGTAGAGCTCGCCCGTGCCGTCGTAGTCCGCAGAGCTGTACCACACCTCGTCGCTGACTGCGACCGTGGCGCCGAAGTTGGTCAGCCAGGTGCCGTCCAGCGGCATCGGCACCGACGTCATGACGGTGTGGGGGTGGCCGCTGCAGCCGTTGTCGGCGTCTGCGGTATCGTAGGCCGCGGCTTCGGCGGTCAGCGCCTCCGCCGCCGACGTCGCGTTGAAGACGACCATGCAGTACGCCCACCCGCCCCCCTCGGCCGCGTGCCACATCACCTTGGTGAAGAGGGACGGGTTGTACTCGTCGTCGGCCGGGTTGTGCAGGACGGCAAGGGTCGGCGATATCCGCCGAAATAGATCGAAATGGACGCGAATGCTCCTGTGGATCTCGGTCGCGACACGGTTCCGTGAGTCGTCAAGGCACCCTGCTGCGTGGGCGGCGGGCGGGCGGCGGGCAAGCGGGCATTAGGAAAATTTAAATGAATTCGGGGGCACGGGACGCGGCACAAACGGGGCACAAACGCCAGGCAGGCCCACAAAGACAGGGAGGCACGTAGTGCATTAAAGGAACCACCCATTTATCGTAACCAACCATTTATCGTAAACAGGCAGGACAATCCGGTTCAAACTGTTTTAACTCGTTCGCTCGACCCTCAGTTCCCAGACAATTCTCCTCGGGAAAAGAAAACCCTTCGCGCGCCGCTCGTCAGTTTGGCGCCGCGGCGAATTCTTGCTGGCGAATTCCTGTCAATGCCCGACGCCAGCAGCTTCACCGCCGCGCTAGTCATCGCCGATCCCCATCTCCTCCCTTCCTCGCTCGCGCGATGTGCCGCCATCAGCAGCGCCTGCCGAGCCGCTGTTTCGACACTGCTTGATCGGCGGCGGCTGGACCTGAGCGGCGGCAGCGAGCACGTCACCGTGCCGCTGCTTCCAGAAGCAGCCGTGACTGGGCCGCCGCCCGCAGGCTCTCCACCGACTTTCTCTTTACCACCCGAGACTTCTAGTTCGGCTTCGACGCATTCCAGCCCGTGAGCG